CTTTTACAAAAACTCGTAGAAAATTTTTATCTGCAGCTCAATGTGTCGGCTTACATCTTCATCTACGATAGTATGACGAATGTACTACATAGTAGTACCAAAAGATCCTACTACCAGGTAAAACATACCCAAAGTTTTGTCTTTTATTCCGATAGTTTGATCATAAATAGAATATGTTGAACTCTGATCGCAAGAATTTGATTGGTTTTGATGCAGAGGAGCTAAAAGACCAACATAAAGTTTTTCTCCAAAGAAAGATATCTCAATATATGAATACAAATCTCATCACATTAGACTCCTTATTCAACAGCTCAGTGATGGCCCTATCAGAAAAAAATTCCATGTCGAACGGTTTTAGTGTGCCTGATTTATGAAGTAATATTTGAGTAGTCTTCACATAAGTGTTGATGAGAACCGTCAAAAAGTAACCGATATCTCCAGCTAACTTTTACCATTTTCTTTGATATTTTTTTCAATGAGTGCCCTGCTCTAATCAAATTTTCTACGAAAAATTTTAATGATCGCAGCCAATGTTAGAGAAGAGATCCATGTTGAGGTTGCCCCGTTCAAGGGAGGCTTTCCGCGCCTCTAAATTATAGTGGATCTAAGCACCTTATGTGCGATACAATCGAGACATTGAAATGTTTATTTGTTAGTAAGAAAATGGAAGTTAATAAACTTCAATAGTGGAAAACGAGAAATGTCTCAAAAAAACCTTTTTATGTCCTAGGGCAAAAATCTGTGTTTTCGTTGTAAATCTTTTATATTTAGATCTATCAATATGGAGTCGCTGCTTGTAATCTAGGCTTATCAAGCTCTATTTCTTATTAAAATAGCAGGCAAAAGGATTGAGTTTCACTTAATTTTTTACTCAGTAGCAAAACTTTCTGCAACTACTGTATATAATGATATCGTCTGTTTTTTTGTATTGTTGTTTCTTTATTCAAGTTGCATTGAGTTCAATTTTTCATCAAGTAATATTTTCCAATGAATGAAAATGAAGATAATGCTTGATGTAAATATTGAATAGCATTAACCGTTTATCCTTTTATGAAGAAGTGAACGAATCTTTTTTTTTTCGTAAAGAATGGAATTCGATTGTGACTTGAGCACAAAGACAAAAGTACAAAATACTGGTACAAAGTGCCATGATTCATTCCATACTTATATGGCATTTTTCACGATCATTATGATATGATTATATATATATATATTTTGACAAGATGATTTAATGAAATAACTTAGCATTGCATTCAAATCACTTGCTCATCTATTGAAAACATTTTTTAGATCAAAAATGGGACGTTTATGCAAGTGTTGTAAAGGTTTTTGCAAAGATTTTAAAGAGTATGCAAAAAAAGTATCTCATTTTGATTATACTTTTTATCATAACTTTATTTCAATAGATTTGCCATGCGTGGTAATGTGATTGATATGGCCATTGGGCTCATTATTGGTAAAGCCTTTGGTGATGTTGTTCAATCATTGGTTGATGACATTATTTTACCTCCAATTGGCTTACTTCTCGGCGGTGTTGATTTTGATAATTTAACAATAGAAATGCATAGTTTTGCATATCCAAATAAACCACCAGTTCTACTTCGTTATGGTGCATTTATACATCATGTAATCTATTTATTGGTCGTATCACTTACGTTATTTCTCATTATTATATTGGTTAGCAAACTATATAAAAAAGCAGCTAAGGAAAAAACAGAAGAACAATATACTGAATTGAAAGAGTTAAGTGAAGATGTAAAAGTATTATTAGAAATTCGAGATTTATTGGCAAGTAAAACAGATGTTAAATCATAACTATGACTATATTCATATTTATCTTGCATATATTTTTTTTCAAAACAAGAAAAATAAAGTTTCTAGCTATTCACAAGGAATAGAACTTTTCAAGGACAAAGATATATTGAATCAATAATCAAATGGAATCAATACGTTATGTACATACAAGTATTGATTAGTATATCCACGGAGTATTTACAAAACCCCATTTTGTATGTGACTGAGTTGTATGAAGTAACATTTATTTAGTTAAATTATACGATCTCTGATTTGATTTTAACAAAGAATAAAAAACTATAACGAAGAAAGATTCGCTGATCATTACCTTCAAACTTCAAAACAGAAACATTATTGAAAGGAATATTTCATTCGACTATTCGAAAAGCTGCAAAAAATGGTAGTTATGCACTATCGTACTGAAACTTCACAATATAAGCGAAAAAAAAGGAAATGCAATATGTTCGTTGTGAATTCGAAATGGAAAGGAATCATCGATTTCCATCTTGTCCTGTCTCCGAAAGAAAAAATTTTCTTCGAGTCGAAATCTTACTCTGATTAAACGCTTCGTTTCAACTCCTAGAATTGATGAATAATGTATATAAAGAATAAAAACTATGAGAAACAAGTAGCATGATATTCTTCATCGCAAAATAGAATGACTTCTCATGTCAAAAACATTTTGCATACTTTGGAAATCTAAGAAATCACTCTCTAATATCATAATCCTAAAATATTCTTTCATTCATTGTAGAGCTCTACAATATAATAGATGATCGAGTTGTATCCTACCTCTCAAAAACGTATAAAAATGAGCGACTGACGAAGATGCAATATATTGAAATAATTAATAGTGATTGGAAAATACTAAATAGCACTCAGAATAAACAAGCATGAGTTTGTGATATATAACAATGACTCATAAGGAATGAAATACACTTAAGTCCATATTGCTGAGTCGAACTCTATCAAATAGGTTTGAAATCTGGTTACTCTATGGGTTTCTCGCTATTGTCCGCTCACCGAATTTCCAGAGTTATAATGACATCCAACAGATCGAATCTGTCATATCCGATATCAGAATAGCATCCGGATACATTGTGGCAAATGAGAATTAGAACAAGATTCCTCAATCAAACTTTCTCAATTCCAAGAATTCAAAGCTCTGGGATTATATAAGAACTGAGCATTTCCACTTATTGGATTCGATTATTTCTGATAATATAGATAAAAAAATCAAGTAAATCAGATGATTCCGGATTCACTTGATGTCTTTCTGTTTTTAAAATCCGATCGATTTCGCTATATATGCTTCTGCTTGTTGTTGATGATACTGCAATGGAACAAAGCGTTGATAATAGACATCATAATTGTGGATATATACATGGATGCTTTTTCTATCACGATAATACATGTTCATCTTTTTGATAGGCGATTTTCCTCTCCGTGTATTCACAGTTAATTCGTCATATGATTCACCATCATCGGTAGATAAATTTTCATTAAAAACGAAATATTTTAGTAAAACAAAATCGCTTTCGAATTCCATAATTTGTTTTCAAGTACAATAAATGACTCGATCATGATTGAACCCATTTTTATTCTTACGTCTTTACATAAATTAGCAATTTCAAAGAGTAAAAACATTTTGAAATGTCGACATCTCTTTAATTGCCGGATCGAATCCAGATATGAGATCATATCCGAGATTCAAACTGGACCAATTGCTGGGTATCGGACCTATTTGTAGGGCATTACTCCTGTCATCTAGTCGTAACTTCGTCGCGGCATACTTTGACCTATGGCTTATGTTAACTGTAAAATTATAATAATCTACGAGAAATGATTTCAGAAGAAACTAATAATAAAGGTTAAGTTTTGATACAAGAACGAAAACTCTAAAAAGCATTATAGAATAGAGAATAACTTTTAGAACAAATTCTGTAGGACTAAAATATGAAACACAATGCCACTGTTGTTGTTGATTATAGAGAGATCATTTTGTTCTATATATCTTAAGACTTGTTTTTACACTCTTGTTGCACTTAGTCCTTTAGAAATGCATTAAAGAAGTAGCTAATATATGTATAGTTACAGATCGCTATTAATATACAGTCTGTGATGGTGTCTGGAGGAAGTCTGTCATGTTTTATGAAGAGGGATCAAGAAGTGAGTGCAAATTTCTAACCTATACATTTTAACACTCCTATTAATTCGTATTTCACCTACATAACCTAATGCAAGTAACGTTATACTGGGTAGCTTGCTATCTCATGCATCAAAGGTTGAATCGATTAAAACATACAGCTTTTCGTCTATTTTAAACACAGTACAGCTTTCAACGAGGTTTCATTAATCAGGCATTTTCTTATTATTTTCCTTTACAATGATATTTATTAAAGCTCTATTTATAATACTGAAATTGGAGTTTTGTATCTTTACTTTTATGAGATCAGTATCGCTTCTAGCAATTAATTCCTAAAATAAATATTCATTTCATAAAATGAAAGAAAATATAATAGATAGGCTGATTCTGTAACGACCTCTCATATGCAATACGGCCGTCTAACACTCTCAAGTTAATCAAGTTTTGATAATCCATAAAGAAATTATCAATGAGTCGATATTTTTAATTTTTATAGAATTAAAAATTTGTTATTTCTTAAACTAAGATAAAAAAGAATCTGATTCATCCTTCCATCTATTTGATCAACTAAAACTTTCAATGATTGTTATTTGAATCTGTATTGCATTTATTAAACTTCTAAAATAATAATGGAGAAACTTAAATGCATTTATTAATCACAAAATAAATGAAATTTTTTTAACAATTTACAAAAATATCGAAATTTTTCTTTGTCGATAATTGTGTTTACTGTTTAACGTGGATTTCTATGACATTATGTTACCATTGATCAGTATTTTACACGTATAAAATTACTTTCGTTTGTTCCATTATACATACTGTGCGAGTCATGCACACACACACACACACATATATATATCCAGATGTATACAAAAAAAAACTCGCTCCTTTCTATGTGTCCTACGAAATTATAACCGCCAAATATTTCTTCGTCATGCGTCTGGCATCAAAGCGAGAAAGAAAAAGAAGTCCATTCTTTTATTCTGTTCTTTTTCTTCACAGCTTTTTTCTCCGTCGACAGAGAATAATACGCTACTGTAGAGATATGTACATAAAAATAATGCGTAGAGTATTGATTGTTTTTCGTAAATATTCTGTTCTATGTCTGATTATTGCTTGTTTTTGGTTAATTATTCGATTATGTGAAATACGCGTCGAAACTTGTTTATCACAACCAATCAATAACAATAACAATGATATTTATTCATATTTCAAATCAAAATCATCTAGTTCTTATAACATTTCTACGAATTTACATGTTCAAGATGTTCTTCTAGTTGTACGTACTTCTAAAAATACTCAACTATTACGAATGCCAGTTATTCTCAATACATGGTTTAAATTTTCTCCAGATACAACATATATAGCCACAAATGGCAATGCAACATTTCTTTATCGTTATATTTCTAAACGATATCACGATCAGATACATTCGACTAATTGTAAGCAAGCACATTCTATACGTGATTTATGTTGTCATAGTGCATCAGAATTTAATATTTATTTTCGAAATCAAAATAAATATAAATGGTTATGTCGTTTTGATGATGATCAATATGTTAATGTACCATTACTTATTGATTATTTAAAACAATTTATTCCTGACAAAGAACTTTTATATATTGGTAAACCAAGTTTAAAAGAACCGAAACGTGGACGTAGTATGAGATTTTGGTTTGCAACTTATGGTGGTGGTGTTTGTTTTTCTAGGGCTCTTTTAAAAATGATTTATGATGATGTTCAACCAGATAATAAATTTATGGAAGGTTGTATATCAACAAATTATCCTGATGATACACATATAGCTTATATACTTCGGAAAAAATATCATATTAATCTAACTATTGCAAATGATTTTCATCATCATATTGAATGGGATCTATTTACAAATTTAACGAATCCATTAAATATTGATCAAGCTATTACACTTGGCTTTAAAGGTAGTATTGTACCTCGATTTATACCTTTAATGAAAAACGATGTATATCATATGCAAACATTGCATTGTTTATTATACCCGGATGTAAATTGTATGCGTTTATTAAGAATTTTATTAAATAAATTTTATGAAGAAAAAAAAAGGTTAATTTAAATAAAATGTTATATACTCTTTCTGTTTTTTTCTTTTATAATGAGATTCATCATTATATTTTCGTATATTTACCAAAAAAATAAATAAGCTTTCTTTAATAAAAATGGATAAAAGAAAAAAAATAAAAAATGTTCATAAATAATTTAATGAATAATAAACAAATATATAAAGCAAAAGAAAAAAGGAATTTTTGTTTAATCGTTAACAGTTTCCTTTTTTTATTATTTTCGCTAACTATTAGAATATTTTAATAACAAGATAAAAGCACACAGCTTTATTTAAAGAAAAAAAAACGAAATGAAAAGAGAAAGATCACGTGCCTATGAAGTATGTTACTTTTGAAAATCACAAACAATATGCACCTATTATTTGGTTTTGTTTAGAAAATATAATCATTATTGTTTAAATAAAGCAGTTAAATGACTAGTTATGTCAAAGAACCAGTATTTTCTTTATCCCATTTCTAATGTTGGTGTAGTTTGATTATGTTGTTGAATAGTAGGATTCGATGTTTGCTGTTGTGAATTAGTTGTAGTTGTTGCTGATGTTGGTGTTTCAAGATTAATTAATAATTGTGATAACCATTTTTTAGTCGATGGATCTTCTTTAAGTACAGCATCCTATAACAATCAAAAGAATTTCAAAAATATTTTTCTTCAATAAAAATTAATTACAAATGTATGATCTTTAAGACAATCAGGAAGACATGAACGAAGAGCTTCACGAGCTCGAGGATTATCCGATAAGCGTAAATAACATCGAATAATATGTTTTAATAAACGACCACTTGCTTCTCTTTGCTATTCAAAAAGAAAAATTATTTTATATTAAATAACTAAAACAAGAAAAAAAAAAGAATGATCGAAACCTGTTGAAGAACCATTCGTCCAAGAACCATTGCAACATGTGAAAAACGATCGAATGTTTCACAAATATAATTTAAACCAGAATCATCACCGAGAATTTTTTGTAAAATAAATGTTGCAACAGTTTTTGATAATTCACTTCCCGATTGCATTATACGTAATGATAATGGAATAATTTCTGTTGTTAATAAAAAATTAATAACATCGGTTTCATCAGTTTTAACAAGTGCACCAATAACACCTAATGATGTTAAACGTAAATATTCAAATGGTCTTGTTGATGATTTTGTATTTAAAAATGGATAAAGAAATAATGGAACATTTGCTTGAATAAAAAGTGTACGTGTTTCAGGATGTGATGCTATACATTGTAATAAAGCTAATGCATTACAAACACGATTTGATTGTTGAGCAGTTAATGTCGGTGGGTTAATATATGGATAAACTGAACTAAACAACAAACCAACCACAAAGAAAAAGACGGCATAGATAATTAATATTAAAAGTAAAGTAATGACTTACATCACTTCATATAGAAGTACAGCAACAGATCCAAATGAATGCCAAAGTAAAACCGCTAGATCGGCAACTTTTTCTCGTTTACGACTTAATTCCATTAAAGCAGCTTCACGTGTTGATGATGAAAGTAATTCAGTTATCCATCTAGCAATACGTTCACGTGATACAGAAGTATTATTAATATTCGATGTTGATTGACTTGAGTTTGTACTTGAATTATTTGATGTTTGACTGCTAGCTCCTGCTGATGTTGTGCCATTATTAGGAACATTTGATAGATTATTTGGACTAGGTGAAGGATTTAAGGATGATGATGATGATGAAGCCATGTTCATTATATAAAAAGAATCTAAAATGATTTATTACTCATATTGAATGTAAGATCTAAATTTTCGTTTTCTCTTGCAAGACTTTCTTGTATACCTTTGAAATTTTATTGTTTCTCTAATTTAATTTTTACGCCTTAATGTTAATTAATAAAAAATACTACGAAAAAGAATATGTTGGGTATTTTTCTTTTTATTATTTGACCTGTTGATCTGTTCACAATCTACTAACTCATGTGAATGGCTCATTTCATCATTTCTAAAAGAAATCCACTAATGCATTTGTGAATGTTACTTTAGAAATGGACCTTTTAAAAAACTAATTACACAAAAAAATTACGCATACTTCATAATATTTTTATATAATATTTTCATCGTGGCCATTTTTTGTTTTTTATTTCTTCTCATATTGCATACCAACGACATCATAAGTATTGTTGGTTTCATTGCTTCCGCTGCTGACAGCAGCTAAGAAACGGAAAGAAGCGGTTCGAATATAAAAAATTTATAACAGCGAACACATATATTAAACCATCTTCAGAAAATGTATTTGGATCAATTAAAATTTATGCTTGATCAGTTGATTTTGATAATGAATCTAATTCATAATAAACATCTTGATTTTGAAGACCTGTATTAATAAAACTATCCTATATTTCTTTTAGCTATGATTAAATAAAGAAAACTATACAATAAGATAGAGCACAATGAAAGAAATTACTGTACACCGAGAACAACAATACCCAGGTCTATGGATACGGCTATCCGTATTTTTACCGTAAATTTGCTTCATACGACACCGTAAACGGACCGTATTTTCTCGTAACCATGGGCACATTAATATAGCACCGTATACGAGGCCGTATTTTCACAGTATACGGCCGTAATCTCATTATGATAAGGCCGTATTTCTGTACCCGATATTACGGCCGTATACGGTCCGTTTATGCGGCGTAAGGTAACTGTAAACGGTCGTTTACGGACCGTATCGTTCGACCTGGGTGTCATTAAATATACATAACAACTATCAGAACAGTTATTCATTCAAAGATCGGTACTAGTACAATTCTTCGCAATCAATTCGTTGCAGAGAAAGGAAAGAGTATATTAATTGAATTAAGTGATTTCGTTTATTTTGTTTTTCAATTAATCACATAAATGTGTATGTTACAGTAGAAATAAAAATTCTGTTGGAAAATATAAAAATTTTAATTTTTTTTATAGGAAAATTTGAAGCGTTCCTGCAGTGGAAATTCAAATTTCGGTTTTTCCTAGGACAATTTTAAATTCTCCTAAATTCTAAGTTCTATTGACACATACTGTTTTATAAGATGATCACATCTGCATCATGGATAGTAGATTCAGTTTCAATAAACAAATGATTTAGTTGCGTAAAAAAATTACTTAAAAAACCCTTCTGTTACAGTGCAAATAGTTTATTATTAAATGAGACTGAAATCAAGTCCTTTATGGAGAGACTTCTGAGGAAATCTTGAGGTAAGAAATTCAAGAAGAAATGCAGGCAAAATTTGCTCTTTCTTGATCTATATGATTCGCTAAGTACTTTAAGAAATAGTTTTTCCGTGATTTGAAAAGCAGCCTAATCCTTGAATAAAGTAGTCTTCAAAATTTTCGTAACGGGTGTTTAAGTTTCGATGTTGCGAACATTAGAGGAATAGTTGGATTAAATCTGATAACTTAAGTATTCTTTACAAATCACTTTTTACAAATGATGTATTAAGTTTTTAACAAGATCTATTATCTAAAGAAATAAATTTTTAAAAATTTCAATTTAAAAATGTAATTTTTTAAAAAATCCAGTTTAACAAAAAAATAACTTTTTAAGAGCAAAACTATATTCATATAACATTTGAATGCAAAAAGTTTAAATTTATTTTTAATTAAAGTTTGTAGAATTTTATTTCGAGTTAAAATTTATTTTTAGTCCATTTAAATTAAAATAAATAAACTGTAAATCGAAATTTCTATCGTTTTTTAATAAAAAAAATACAGTCAAAAAATACTCGTATTATTTTAAGTGAAAACATTTTTTTTGAGGTGATTAATTGAAAAACAAAATAAACGAAATCACTTAATTCAATTAATATACTCTTTCCTTTCTCTGCGACGAATTGTCGTGCAACGAATTGATCGTGCGACGAATTGATCGGTCACCAAAAAAAACAAACCTTTTGAACATGAAAATTGATCTTGTTCAAGAATAAAACCAATTGAGCAAGCACATGTATAACCTGATGGTGCAATATGAAAAAGAAGACATTATTGTGTACAACGAGATTGTTGATATGGATTTTTCTTAAAATTCAAATTTCAAAACAATAATTTTTTTCCAAAATAAACATTGTATAATTTACCTAATGGTTGATAAACTTTATTTGAAATTTTCACATGAAGAATATTCAATCTTGATAATATTTTTTTATGTTTTTGTGCTTTAATTCCATGTTCAAAACGATTTAAACGTCTTATTTCATTTGAATTTGAATCATACTAATAAAGACAATTTGCAAAGAGAGCTATAGACATAGATCTATGTAAAAAATGTGTATTAGCTAAAATTTTTCTTCAATTTTCACCATTATATCTTACAACTTCAATACAATTTAAATGATGATTTGTAAAATAAACTACTTCACATATTAAATCAAATGTTAAACCTAATGGCATTTGAATTGTATCGTTAACAATACTAAGACGTTGTTGACCATCTATACTACAACGTGCAATACGAGAATTTTTATCCCAATATGTTAAAAATAAAAATCGAACACCAGCACGTAGATCAACTGCAATTGATCGTGGATTTGTTAAATTTTCTATTGAAAATACTTTTCATGTTGTTACTGATATTGGTTCTTGAATTTGAGAAATAAAATTTGAAAATTATCGAATAATAAATCTAAACTTACTTTCACCATCCATTTTTGATGAATAAATCATTTGACTTGTTTGACAATAAAAATATACAAGTTTTTCTTCATAATCAAATACAAAATCTGATATAATAGTTCGTTGATCAGGTACAATCATTGGTCGAGCTTCAATATTTGAATCACGATTAAAATCAATTCCACCAATAGAAAATAAACGTGTTAATAGAAAATCTTTCACCGGTAAAAACAAAACAAAACAAAACAAAACAAAACAAAACATCAAATCTAAATCCTTTATTTTGAATTTTATGTTCATATGTTTTTAAATTTGATTTTAATCGAAAACCAGATTGACATCGACCTTAATAACTATTTCCTAATAAATTACTTCTTCTAAGTATACATAAATGGTCACAACCACCATTATATGTTCCACGTTGTTGTGATACCACTGTGAAGCTAACCACTATGAAGCTAGCCGAACCGTATCATTTAGCCGGATGAAAGTAGCGATTCTATTGGGATATGTGTTCGCCAATAGATATCGTAAAATTCGGAAATCACCACTGAAGAGGAACACAAAAAAAAAGATTCTGGAAATGATTGCCTTAGTAACAGTAAGATGAATGCAATAGAATGCGTGCAATAATTATAACTTTAATAACTGAGTGTTGATATTCTTGCTTAATATGTTCGTTTTTTCTTATGAAGAAAAAATTACAAACAAAATTTGCACTCGATTTAATGCAGCTGATCACTTGAATTGAATTTTCTGTAATGAAGTTGGTATCACCAATACTATAACATATACGAATTTCTGCGGACTTCAGACGGAATTTTAAAAGGTGTGAACGTCCTTTTCTTCAACATCTTAACTAGTTGCATCGATTGATGCCATTCAGAAGTTACCAGAAATTTTTTCAGTGCTGGTGTTGGTATTACTAATACGAGAATGTTGATGAATTTGTGCGAGTTTCAGACGATGTTTTTAAAGGTATGAGCATCATTTTTCTTAATAACTAAACTTGCTGTATCGATTGATGCCGTTTAGTAATTAGCAGAAATTTTTTTAACGATGATGTTGGTATGAGTAATACTAGAATGTTCATCGATTTGTGACGGTCGAGACGCGCCTTTCATAGGTGTGAACATCATTCCCCTCAATAACTGAACCTGCTGTATCGATTGATGCCATTTAGAAGTCATAGGAATTGTTTTTCCTTGATGTTATTGATACTATTAATTTTAGTGGCATTCATCGTCTGCAGTGTTTCTAATAGAAATCTAAAATAAAAAGTCAAATGACATATTATTTTTGTCATCAAAGTGTAAAATGATACTCTGTTTTTTTAAACAACGTATCACAAAATTTCCAAGGTGTTTATTATTAAAATTGAATTCAAAAAAAAGAAATATTTCATATGAATTTATCAGAGCTCTCCCACTGGAAGAAAGGATCATATTCCAATTTCAAAGTTTGGGTTTTTGATAAACGAACTTTCAGTGTTATTTCCATTGTTTCCTTATTAATTCTAAAAACATGGCTGTAATCTAGAAATTGTGGTCGAATCTAAAAATCTCTTCCAATCAGTCTTTTGAGTTGTCGATCTCGCGCTCCCTTCTCTTAAACCTTGTAGATATCAAGACTAAGGCCACATTTTAACTTTAAAACTACTTTGACACATTACTTTCAGTTGAAGTAGATTTTTCCACAAGATTTTTTTTGCAAAAAGATAGTATTTCTTTTATTACAAAAATTGTTTATTTTTTATGAAAAAATAGTTTCTTTACAAAAAAATTGCGAAGAAATTTAATTTAACTTTAATGTTTTGAAAGTGAAAGTTTAAAGTGATCTTATTTTTATTTTACTTTGAATTTATAGTTAAAGTGTGGGTGGCGGTGAGGATGTGCGTGTGTATGTGGGTAGTGTGTGGGTGTGGGTGAGGGTATGGGTGGGTGTGGTGTGGGGTGTAGGTGTAGGTGCGGCTGTAGGTGGTTGTGAGTATTGGTGTCTCAGATAACGTACATTCACACCCACACCCACACCATTTTCATTATTTCCAATCACTGAAAACTATACAAATATTTTGTACAGGGCCTTTACAGATAATTCGTGTCACGACATTTCCATGATAAATATACACACAGATAATAGTTTCATAAAAAAAAAACATAGATGTCAACTCGGGTCCAGACTCGAATGTTTGTCGAACAATATCTGACACTCTGTATGTATACAAAACAATTGAAAGATCAAGGTTTTAGTTATCTGTTGGTTACTCTTAGAAAAAAAATCAACGTACAATTATTTCCTTCTGTATACTTTCCTATCACTTGATGCTTAATAAAGTAAAAGTTTTCCGCTTAGTGGAAACAGAGTATGATGTTAATAGCAAAGAAAATTGAACAGTTAATTAATAAACAAACTTCGTCGTTGAAAATCGTCAAATCAAAAGTAACACCAATATTTTCACCTTTATGGAACAGTTCTACTTATTTTTTATGTAAATGAGGTCAAGCAAGAATACGGTCTATGCAATCAATGTAGGGAGCTACGGACTATAGGATCCTATTTACGAGACTGCCCGTACAAATAAACGATATAGAATAGCTTACTTTACATCGCTACTGAAGTCTCTTGATTTTTTTCTCGTTATCGTTTTTATTTACTCCGAAATTCGTATTCATTTTCTTCAATATACTTTTGCGCTTAAGAAAATATTATTTTTTCTTATTCTCGAGTCGGCTCGCGACACAATAAATGGCCATAAACGGAGGAATGAAGGCACTTTCAAGTAGTTTTGTTTTATAATCTAGGGTTACAAAATAAATATTCCGTTTTTTATTTATTTATTATCCTATACGTATAGAAAGCTTCAAAAACGTCGAACGAAAAAAATTGTCGTTATAAACGATCTTAACAACGGGTCATAAAGTGGTAATAAACTATGACTATTACGATCACTGATAACATTTAGAGACTTGTGTATCCATAATTTATGGTCTCCGTCATGGCATTGAATCAATGTTCCTTCAAGCACCAATTTGGATGAACTGGAACGTAATGTCTACTGTTTTTTAGCTAATTTCAAAAACTAGTTTTTGGGAGATGAAGCCGAAAATTTTATATTTATTGTTTTATTCTCAAGAAGTGTCAAAGCTTTCTCCAAATATCAACAAAGCGAATCATAAAACAAAACTATTCATACTAGAAATAGCAAAAAAAAATGAATAAAAAACCAAAAAATATCATTAATTTGCTATCAGATTGAGTTTATGTATGTGGTGTTTCACATACTCCAAACTTATCGAAGTTGTTGAAATCTGATTCTTGAAGTCGAGTCGGCACCATTGAAACACTTTTATCGAAGTTTTAAATAAAAGTTGCTGATTTTGAAGTCCTAAATCAAAGTCGACCAATAAGCATTAAGAGCTGTTGTCTAATTCTGAATAAAAAAATTTACCGAAATCAGCTGGAAAAATATAAATCCTATTTCCAGTTACACCGACATCAACTAACACTTATCGAGTCCAAGGTCCAATACACGGTGCTTTCGCAAGGATTTATCCCATCGGATTTTTATCATATATATTTTTTTCAAATGTAAAATTCTACTTCGTATATTAGTAAAAGAAACAACAAAAAGTGATAGATATCATGCGCGCCCAAATGAATTTTGCATTATTCTGTGAAGAAATTCTTTGTTTTTTTTTCAACATTAACGATCGTTAATTGTATGAGAAGAATAAAGAATAAAAAATGTAAGCAAAAGGAAACTAAAATGACATGATTCAAGTACTAATAATCAATCACAACTATCGAAAAATGATAATAGTAATCAATAATTACATTATTTTGATAATTACAATTTTATTTAGATTCATTCGAATTAAAATCTTAGTCAATAGAAACTACTTGAATAAAAACTAATTTTTACATGTCATCAATTCATTTATTATCTGCTAAACTGCCATCCCTTTCATCGGTAAACTAAAAACTATAACTTCAATTCTACATATTTCTTTGTAAAACACGATCTAAAAGAAGCGTCGAAATATATAGAGTAGAAATTTGTAACCCCTGATGAACTATTTCTTTGTCACATTTCTGAAGAGCAGCTACGTCATGTATCCTATATTAATCCAACATAGATTGTACAAATAACTTACATAATATTTCTCTCGCATTAGCAACAACAGCAAAAACTTCATGGTGAAATGTATATTGCTTTCACTACTAATACAGTAAATAATATGCAAACATATTCATATTTTAATGAAAGTATTTCGCACAATATCTCATACAATGGACATTTATTACATTCAGTCTATCATTATCCTCTAGAAAATATTCAACTTATAGAAGATTTTGAAAAACGTTACCAATTATCATACAAAATAGACGATGAACTTGATTTACATCAATTCGAACTGATAATGACACTTGGACAAGGATCATTTGGTAAAAAATCATATTTTTCGTGAATATTCTTAATATTTGCTTCGAACTAGGTCGAGTTTTATTAGTTGTACTTGAACAAAACAAATTTGAATATGCTCTCAAAGTTTTAGATAAATCAAAAATTGTTAAATATAATCAAATAAAACATGTTCAAAATGAAATACGTATTCTTAATGCTATTAGGCATCCGAATAGTATCCTAATGCATTCTTTATTTAAAGATAATTCATATATTTATGTTCTTATGGAATATGTAAGTTAAGAAGAACATAACAACCTCTACGTTAAATATTTTGATCTAAGGTTCGCGGTGGTGATTTATTTGGTTATATTAATAAATTAAAAGTATTTCAAGAACATATAACTTCATTTTTTGCGGCTCAAATTGTTCTTGTATGGATGGAGATTGTATCTACTTTTACAATTATCACATATAGTTGTTCTAGGTATTTGAATATTTACATTTTTTTAATATTATCTATCGAGATTTAAAACCAGTGAGTTTGATTTATTTTTCATATGCCATATGATACAAAAAACTAAAAACATTTAGGAAAATATTTTAGTAGATCATCATGGTTATTTAAAGGTAAAATGACTTTTTTCTTTAGTCAGTAGTAATTTTTATATTTATTAATCCCAATAAATAAAGGTGATGGAGAAAAAAAGCCAAGGAAATCATCTTAGTTCTGATCATAAAAGTAGAAAATTCTCTATGAGACAAGTTCTTCAATCGATAAATTGCTTTCGATTTGAGACCATATGCATTCTGTAGAATCGCATGGGTTATGAATATCTTGAAAATAATTCAGGCACTAAGCTTATTGCTGTCGAGGTATTGCATTTTTTCGGTGATTCTCAAATGAATGTCATGGTGAGAAAAAAAATGATTTACGAATTTCAGCTTGAAACTTTGTACAGAGGTAGGCCTTAATGAGAATATTTTATTGTGCAAATTTCAGATCTGCTGGTTTGCTTCTATCCTAAAATAAGAACTCAGACAAAATAAGACATACAAAACTTTCATTTGATTTTGATTTTTTTGCAAAGATTAATTTCCGAAATATGCTCTCTTTTTGCGTAGACACACGTGAAAATGTTGACTCTTTCAACTGACTATTAGTTCAACAGTAGTCAGCGAATGTCTCTAGTCATATGAGAAAAAAATCCCAAAACTTTAAGAGAGACTCTACGGCATAAATTGTATCTATGGTGAAATTTTTAGCATGATCAGACTCCAAAAACGTTTCTTCGAGCAACCGATTTTCTAGAGATCCAGTCAAGTTGTGAAACAAAAATTTTTGCCTTACCACCAGCTAGAGATTCTGTCGAAGGCTTATACCTATTTTCACCATAAGTGTATCTTAGAATAGGAATAACTACAAGATCTGAAATATTCATACAAAACTATTCTCATCAAGGCCTATCTCTATGCAAAATTTCAAATGGAAGTTAGATAAACAGTTCTCCTAAGGGGACCATAGCAGTTATTAAAAAACAAGCATCTCCGCAGTAATAAGCTAAGTAGACTAACTCTTTTCAGAGTATTGAAAGGGCATTTTGACCTATAAAATGCATATAGTTTCGACCCCAAAGTAATATGTAAGTTGTTGGAAAATTTCCATTGTTAGTTAATATTTAAATCGTGTAGATATTATGATACAATATCTTCTTCGAATAATGGTTTTCTATCTGAGATATTCTATAAAACAATATTTTTCAAAAGAATATTACATCTTCTTTTTTGTTCAATTGCATTTATTATTTAGCTTGCTGATTTTGGTTTCGCTAAACGGATTCAACAAAGAACATATACACTTTGTGGTACACCAGATTATTTCAGTCCAGAAATTCTTCAATCCAAAGGTTTTTCAATAAATATTATTTTTGAAAAAAGTATTGTAGAACATTTCAAGGTCATGGCAAACCAACGGATTGGTGGACCTTAGGAGCAAGAATGCCTATATGAATTGTATAATTTGTAATTAATTAAAATTCATCTTGTTATAGGTTTTGATTTATGAAATGAATACGGGTAATCCACCATTTAAAGGTCAATCTGAAATGATTCTATTTGAAGCAATCTGTCGAAAAAAACCACCATTACGAACTAACTTTTCATTAAATTTTAAAAAGATTATACTTGGTTTACTTCAAAAAGATCCAACTAAACGATTAGGTTCAAGTTCAAAAGGATCAATAGAAATTAAAGAACGTAAAATAAAATTTTAGAATAAAATTTTTATATTTACTCTAAAACTATTAGATTCGTGGTTTTCTAAAATAAATTTTGAAGCAATTTATACACAACAAATACCATCACCATTTTCTAAATATATAATCACTAAATCATTAATAGATTATCGTCAAGAATCCATAACACGAAATGAAAAACCATTGATTATTGCTGAGCATGATGACTATAAAGAACATTTCAAGGATTTTTAGTACAAGAAAAAAACATAAACATGATGACTTACATAAGTCTATTTTGACCTTAACTCCAAGTGACTTTGTACTATGAATAGTATAATAGTTTCTATTAATAAATCACGCGATATGAAGTATAAATCGACAAAAATATTATATACAGATATGTTTCAAATATGCAAGTTTCATGAGTTTATTAATATAAATATAATGTTTAATATACTGTACATTTCAATGTTTACTTGTTTTGATATTTGTCTTGTTCTGCCATTTTACCTATACATAGTGAATCTGATGTATTCGCAAGAATGATTACATGAGTGAAGGAGGTTTTGGGTTACAAATGAAAAAAATAGGAAAAAAATTATCATATAATTCGTAATAAAATCGTATCGGAATCAATAATGTTATTATCGAAATTTGAAAAATTGCCTGATGAAATTATTCTTAAGATTTGTCTTTATTTAACACCATTTGAAATTATCAATTGTTTTGGTCAACTTAATTGGCGTCTCAATCGAACTATTAGTCGATTCCGATGTAATGCAGATATTCATCATTTAACCTTGAATCAGTATCAACGATGGTATTCACATTTATTACCTTCTACAACAGAATATATTAGAAATTTAGTTTTAAGTAATTGGAATTCACCAGGACAAATTCGTCTTTTTAATCAATCAACTAAAAATTATAATTCTCTTCATCAATTATTACCTAATATAAAACAACTTCGATTGATTGATTTTAGTAATGATGATGTTCATATTCTACCAAAATTAGCTATGATTGATAAAATATTAATTGATATCGATGCATTGAAACCTCTTCTATATTCAACAAAATGTCTTCTCGATTATTATCTTTTTTGTTCATCATTTTCATTTAAAGAAATACGTCTTTGGATTGGTGAAGGTGGTATTAGATTTCGACATAATACAAAACTTATAGTTAATCCATATCTTGAACAATTAACAATTGTTGTAGCACAAATAGATGATCTCATTTTACTCTTCAAACGTTCACCTAATCTTGTTAAATTATATGTTGCAATAAGTACAGTTTCATCTAATAAATCTGGTCATTGTATTATGAATGAAATAATGCCAAAAAAATTAACAGATTTTCATATTCAAACTAATGATCAAAAAGTTCTTACGTTTGATGCTTTATTCGTAATTATGATTCATATACCAACTATCAAATTACTTTCACTTGATATCGAAACTAATGATAGAGATTATGTCGATGGTCTTTGTTGGACTTTTTTAATATCACGTTTACCTAATTTGAAACGTTTACATTTCAAAATTCGTATGTGGATAGGAACTGGAACAACATCTATTGATGTTAATCCATTTATTGAATCATTTGCACGAACTAAATTACCAATTATTTGTTATGGTGATAAAAGAGTGCTTTATATTGATACAGTGCCATATAATATGCATGAATTTAATACAAATATGTGTGTGACAACATCACCTACAGTTAAATATGCTAAAACAACAAATATTGAATTATATCAACGACCAGCTTATGGTGTTCAATCACTTTTATTATCTGTACGACATGAACCAACATTCATAGATGATTGCTTATACGTTCTTAATCGTTTTCCATATATTAAAGCTCTTGATCTTACTGCTGTTAATATAATTGATCAAACAAATCATAATGAACAATTATGTTTACCACGTCTTATTGCCTTACGATATGTTCGATCAACGAGATGTAAAATAAATATACCCTTTTTTCTATTACTTGTAACGAATAGTAAAATAACTCCTTGTCTTCGTGCTTTAACAGTTATGTATGGTGATGTTATTTATTTATGTAAACGTTTACCTGGTTTTATTTTTGAACGATTAAAAGAACTTTGGTTATTTAGTAATGATACAGATGGCCGTGTAATTATAAAAGATATTTATTTATTACTTAATGCATTTCCATATTTACAGCATTTTTCATTTCTAATACGATCAAGTAGATCTATTAATAGAAATATTGAACAAATTATTGAAATGATTCTATCTTCGTTACCAAATTTGATAAGTTTTCGATTGATTTGTAGAAAAAGTTCATTCAGACTACATTCATTAATTGATAATAATACACGAAATGTTTGGATTAAACGAATATTTGGTTTGAATGATAACGAACAAATTCATATAATAATCAATAAAAAAGAAATATCAATTTGGAAATGAAAAAAAAAATCTCTTGTTAATGATCTTTAAGTTTTTTTTTGTTTTTAAGTTGAGTTTATTATAAAACATTGAAATAGCAATCGATTTTCATAATAATTGTAAAGCAATTTTCTTTTTCTTTTCCAATGAATACATATGATCATATTTTATTTATCAATCTTGTTAAATTCTTCATATTTAAATCATCTATATCACTTCTCTTTTTTATCTCTTCTAAATTTATTTTCAAGATTGACCACGCAAAGTTTAGCATAAAAAAGAGAGAGAGAGAAAAAAAGAAGACAAACAATCAAGACATTTTGTTTTTTTTGGTGACAAGATAAGTCTAGGACTAACAAGACCAATAGGCTATTATTTAGATGGTAATTCTAATGAATGTAAAGGAATCAGGACGGGTTTATAGAACGAAAAAAAAAAACGAACGATCGCCTAAATGTTCTTGTGTATGTATGGGAATTAGATAATTAAACGAATGTTCTAGAAGGCAAATAATAACATAAAAGCCATCATAAGACAGAAAAGTCCCATAGCCTCGGATAAGGCAAAACCTAAGATGGCATATGAAAAGAGCTGTTGTTTTAAACTTGGATTTCGCGCATAGGCTACTACAAGTGAACCGAATACTGTTCCAATACCTAGAAAAAAAAATAATAATTCAATATGATTTATTTTCTTTTTGTTTTGATTAAAAAATGAACTGACCAGCACCAGCACCGGCAACACCAACTGTAGCAGCACCAGCTCCAATATATTTAGCAGCCGAATCAATATCACGACGAATAGGTGAAGTGGCAATTGATCGTTGTTGTGCTACAGGTGGAATAACCATTGATGGTAAATGTTGTTGAACAAGGCCAGCATTTCGATTAATCAATAATCGACATAAAGCCGATGATGATGTTAATGAAAAACGTGTAAGTGATGCCATTGATAATTAACTAATGATTTGATTTTATAATCTAGGCAAATATGAAAAAAAAAAGAAAAACAAAACAACTTAAAAATTGTATTTTCCATTGAGTCAAACGAATTTCTCAATTGTTTTTTTGTTATTTATTGTTGATTTTGTTTCTTTCTATCCTTAGAAGAGAAACGACAACCATATTAGATGATAGAATTATTAACCACTACAACGAACTATTTCGTGACAACAGTTTAAGAAAAAATAAGATCATAATCAATATGAAAGGTATTATGATTAACTTTTATAAAAATTCATTATCTTTTTTTCATGAAATAGATTAAAAACGAATACAATATTTAGTTAGAGGACGCTACTTACTTGTTTCATATTTTTTGAAGGCAAAAAAAAAACTAATCATACGTGATGACCATCAAGTGTTTTATCTTCTTCATATCGAATATCTCGATTTATTTTCAGTTTTAATATTCAATTTTCTTTGTCATATTGTCAGTACTAGTAAAATATTAGATATTTTTTTTTCGGCTATATATTTATCGCATTGTCATCCTTTATACGACAATTAAAATATTAAAGCTTTAGATATAAAGAGGAATTAGAATAAGAAAAAACAACCATGTATCAGACTTATATAAGCTGCAAAAAACGCAAATTCAAGCAGTTTTTTTTTTTACATTTTTTTCATACATGGCTAGATAGAGAGCAGCAAGTTGAGTAAGAATATTTATTTTATTATTCTTTTTAAATGTCTTTTGATTTAAAAAGATCAAGTTTTTTTTTCACAGTTTTGAACATTCTGTTTTTCATGTGGATTTTAAACATATCAGATTTATAAATCACATAAAACACGATGTCTTATTTTTTGAAATAGAAAAAAATGTCTCAGCTTGTTAGTATGAAAAATATATGTTCAGGAAAAGTGGCACATTCATGACTATCAATATTCAACCATGTATAAAACAATGAAAAGAATTTGCTTGACTCTACCATTTTTCGAACCTTAATAGTCCTTCAGTTTTTTTAAATAATTTTTTGTAGACCAACCATGCTCATACATATTATTCTCTTCATTACTACAACTTGTTTGGCTTTGGCAAAAGAAGCACCGATAGTTCCAGTTCAACCATTTACACCAGAACCAATTCGTATAAGTTTAGATGATCTTCCACCTCCATATAAAACAACATCAGCTGTAAAACCAGCTATTGTTGTAGGAGTACCAACTAATGCAACATTATTCGTACCTGATGTTAATTTTCGTGTAACAATTTATCGTGATAATATGAAGTCACCAAGACATATGATTTATACTCCAACTGGTGATATTCTGGTTACAGAAATGCATGGTAATCGTATATCGATTTTAACTGATGATAATACAACTGTTTTTGCTGATGGATCGAATGGAATTTTTCAAGCTTTTGGTATGGTATTTGTAAAGGTTAGTTTATAATTTAAAATATTAATTTTAATGTAAAGGTTAATTATTCATAGGATTGGTTTTATGTCGCTAATGCTGGCGAACTTCGTCGATATCCTTATCGAATTGGTGATAGAAAATTGAGTGGTACCGGACAAGTTCTTATGACATATGGAAGTACATATCATTGGACACGTAGTTTGATCTTATCACCAAATGGTGATCGTCTTTTTGTAACTGTTGGTTCTGGTAGTAATGTGGATATTGAATATCCATCACGAGCATCAGTACAAATAGTTGACTTAGATGGAAGAAATAATCAAACATTTGCTTGGGGTTTACGTAATCCAGTTGGTATTGATTTTCATCCAAAAACTGGTGATCTTTATGTATCTGTACAAGAACGAGATGAACTTGGTGATGATCTTGTACCAGACTATTTTACTAGAATTCAAAACGATGAATTTTATGGATGGCCATTTGGTAATTAATTAAACCAATGTATATTTATTTTTGTTAGTTGAATTTTTCTGTTTTCTTAGCTTATCTTTCACCGAAAAATATTGATCCACGACGTTGTTTTCCCAATGGTTCTAGTGAACGTCCAGATTTAGTTGAACGTACACGTACACCTGATGTTCTTTTTCAAGCACATTCAGCTACATTAGGTATGCACTTCTATCGTGGTAATCAATTTCCAAGTTATTATCAAAATGGTGCATTTGTTGCTTTTCATGGTTCATGGAATCGTGATTCTGGTACGGGTTATAAACTTGCGTTTGTTCCGTTTAATGATGATAATCGTCCTCGAGGATATTATGAAGAATTTCTTAAAGGATTTCTTATTGATCCAAAAGGTCCAACAACATTTGGTCGACCTGTTGGAATATTAGAAATGAAAGATGGAAGTTTATTATTTAGTGAAGATGGAAATGGACGTTTATATCGAATTGAATATGTTAAAAGTACTGTTGGTCGACAATTTCGTATAACAACAGTTGTGACGTCTGGTGCAACAACGATCACCATCAACATCAGCTTATTCGTATTTTTAATCTTTTCTCTTTTTCGTTAGCCTTATGCTTATCTTTAAAAAGTAATAAACATATTATGAGAAATCCTAATATTTCAATTGTCCAAAAATAGTCCAAAATGATAGTAACATACTTTCAATAGATAGAACTAGCAAAATTACTCGTAATTGACTAAATAAATAAAAAAAAAAAACAATTTTTGAAGAATTTTTTCAAATGTGATACGAATAAATTATGAAATAGATTTCTCTAGATCAAAGTCCAAATTACCTCTATCACCAAGACGGGGACCAAACAAACTTCCTTCGACGTATCTCAAATGCTGGATATTAAAAACATGTTTGTTATTGTTAACCCTTCGCCTCCATAATGATTTCGGTAAAAATACAAATGGAACAATCATTGACACTAAAGAAAATACATAGTGACCATTCTATGTTTTACTATTTTTTCTCTACTTAGCTTGTGTGAATTGTTCGAATGGTATTGATATCATCAAAAGACATTGTCAGCGCCATATAGATTATACAATACATTCTCATCATATATATTTTCATCGCTTTCGAAGATAGAAAAACATGAAAGAAAATATCTTTTCTATCATGTCATAATTTATTGAGTGCACTCAAAGTCATATTCCTACAGTTTTTCTTAACTCTATCTATTATATGCTTTCTGCAATCGTTCTATATGATGGTGATATGACTGACCAAGATGGAGTAGGAAGTTAATATACTGGGATTCGTATTTATCATATTGGAAAATCAAGAAAAAAAACTTGAAATTAACCGTGTACAGTTACATATATAACAACGACGATGGTTTTCGGTTTGTTTGAAGCGGATACAATAGAATATTGATCATTAGCTATGAAAATTATTCGTTAATTTTGTGTGACAATGATCAGTCAAATCAGATGAATCATTCTTCTAATTATCATTTGTTTATTGATCATTCGATGTTCATTCTAATATCATCAATCAAGTATCAATTAATTGATGACTTGTCGACTATTCTATATAATGTCATACAATTCTCTGAATGTATCATAGGAGCCATGACACGATCTATTCCAACCGATGACATGGCCAATGTACGACGTTCTCTTGCTGAAGCAGGGATCTTTTTTGATAAATTATACATAAATCAAGTATTGTAATGAATTTTTCACTTATTCAACTGTTTTTTTTTTTGTTTTTCTCTTGTATTTCAGGCTTATTTTAATAGTAATTTTAATATACAAAAGTTAGATAAAAAGCAAAAAAGATCAAAGACTAATTTTTGGAATAAATTGTTATGCGGATCTAGTAAGCTTTTATGTGAAATTTAAACGATCATAAATTTAGTTCATTGTAGATATTAAACAATCCTCCATTGGTACACAAACACGTAATTAAACATTAATTTATTTTAATGAACAGTTTATTCTGTATTTTTTTTTTTAGTTCTAACAGTACGAGATGATTGTCAACAAACACCACCTCTCGTAACTTTTTGTCAACGTATGCCTCCTACTGAGAACACATACGATCATCGACGTTGTCGTCCATTAAATCGAGAATACACTCATAAAAAGTAACTACTTTTATCCTTGTAGTGTATTTATTTTAAGGAGTCTATCATTATTTGTTTAGATATCAACAACCTGTTCGTCGTCGACGTTCATCACACATCACTCGATCTGTACAAATACAACGGCAAAAGCAAATGAATAATGAAGATGATGATGATGAAAATGATGAATTTGCAGTATGATGATAAGTGTGTCATATGCATGAAATGTTTGATCATTGAAAGATAGAATATTTAGTGTATCTTTCTATTTAAATTGTGTAATACTTTCCTTTCTTTTTTTTTTTTTGTTATAATAAACTTGCTATTATCAACGCTATAGAATAGTATTCATAACATTCATGTTTTAAGCTTTATAAAGAAAGGATTTACATGTAATAGATCATGAATGAAATAGTAAAAAAATAAACAACATTTGATAGTAATAGAGCAAAAGGATAAGATCACTTAATAAGACAAAAAGAAAAAGGTTGAACAAAGTATAGTCGTGTTCACTGAATTACAGTGACATACTTGAGATGATCAAAGAGCAGACAGCTGGGAACGAATAAATTCAAGTGTGTATAAAGACGACACAACAATGAAGACATGATGAAATCAGTAAATGTATATGTAATCAAGACATAGCCGATGATATTGACGCAAATACAGTGGATATGAGAAACGTGCATACTAATCAAGAGACAATTATTGCATATAGAAAAACTACAAAAAATGCTTTCACAAGGATATATAAGTGTTAATGAATTACTAATAACTAGTTGAATAGGAAGCAGGACGTTTGGATGATGTCATCTAATGGATTTCGATATAATTGCTGATATGTTACATATATACAATCATGAATATTCTCAGTTAACTTGATACAAATGAGAAGGTTAAACATAGGAAAAAAGATTCATATGTTCATTGTTTTTCTATCGCTCTCGCTTTTTTTTTTCTTCTATTTCTTTTATACTAGATTGGAGTTACCAAGGGTGTATCTTCATTCTTTCGATTTGACATGATTAAGTGAAATTGTGCGTGCACACTCATATACACGCATGCTACCCTTCGATATCATCTCAAGTGTAACATTGCATCTTGATAAGTAAAAGTGACCTACTATATTTTCGTTCACGCTGTTTTCAATTGATCATATATCTCAACCATATAACGTTGATATCAGTAAGATAGAAAAGTAAAATTGTAATTGTCAATCTCTCTCACTTTTTCTCTCCTCTCGTTTCTTGTTGAACGAGTGAATTTCCTGTGACAAATATGTGATACTGTTTTTTTTTTGCTTTCTTTCACTCTTATTTTTTTTTTTTTGTCACTAGGATCGGACACTTTGCAATAGGCTCGTATGTTGACACATATATACATACACACACGTCTCGTGATAGTTGTATTGGTCATCTTTTTCAACAACAATTAAGTGAAATAGAAAAAGAAAAAGAAGAGAAGACGAACTGCATCAACAAACATACTCTCGCATTGTCGATCGTTCAACGAGTATATTTATGATTATACAAGACCCTCTCACGCATTACTCTCTTTTTAACTTATATTGACGCACGCAATCATATTGAACAATTTCATTCTTCAAATATACATTCGTAGAAAAGCTATTGCATTGATTATTTTGTTTTTTTTTCTTCTCCTCCAGAGAATGCCATCAGCATCATCTGATCGTTATTCAGGAGTTTCATCATCTTCTGGTTCTTCTACTTCATCAACAAATTGTTATAATAATTCGAATAGTTATTCTTTATCACAAACATCTTCTTCTACATTTTCACCAATTCGTTCTGCAACATCATCACTTCACCTGTCGAAATCAATCAATAAAGATTATCGATCCATGCAATCATTAAAAATTCAAAAACAATATCGTGCAAATAGAACGTATCATACACCTGTAGCACGTGTATTACCATTAATTAATAATCAACAATTATCATCATTAGAACAACATCAACAAAAAGAGTATCATACAAAAGATCAAAGTTGGCTTAGTTGTGAAGAACTTGAAACAATTGAAAAACGTTTTACTGATCTTCTTCATGAAATATCTAATAAAAAAACACATGATTATCAACAATATGAACAACGTGCAAAAAGTTGTGATAGATTAACACACGATGAACAAAACTATAAGCCGACAACATTGTCTAGTAAGTTTAGATTGTATAGAAAGGATTAATATCATCTTGATATATGTATATATATATATGTCTATATCTTCATATTTAAGATTCTCGTAAATCATTATTTGATAAAACGAAAGATGATAATCGACATTTTCATACTGAAACTTTTCCTCATTCAACAATTCTTTCTGATAATGATATTCTTAAAGTTGAATTATCTTATCGAAGTATTGGTACACAAGTATATGCATGCCGTTGTTTATGTGATTTATATATAACAACAGCTGAACGTTTATCTAAACTTGAAGATTGGATTTTATTTCAACATGGTTTACCTGTATGGTTACTTAATTCTGGTACAAATCCAAAACGTCAATCATGTTTATCTCTTATTATTGCTGAATATGGTTCTGGTTTTCCTATTTGGCAAGATACTATTGATGGACGTAGTGATGTTAAACAAGCACGTGAACAACATATAACATTTCGTTTATCAGATAAAACAACACTTGCTGTACTCCGTTTCAGTAATTTAACAGCATCACAAGAATTTTTCTCTTATTATATATCTATAAGAAATGATCATCGTTATAAACATCTTTTTTCAAATGGACATAATCGAAGTTCATCATGTGGTTCGATATTAAGTAATAAAAAAAAATCTCAACGTCATGTTAATAAATCATCTATATCGAATCCTTGTCAATTTCAACATATAACACGTTTACAAGTTAAAGATTATGTTTATTTAACATCACTTAATCAATGTTTAATGCCTGCCGATACTTATTCAAATCAACTATTATGATGAAGGTCATGTGAAACAAAGAAATCACAACCAAAAAAAAAACCCAATAACGAACAATTGTCATGTCGATAACATGTATAAAAAGATAAGTTCTCATCATCATCTATCGACTGAATAGAATCATTGAAGTGTACAGAATATTGACCTTTTGTTCTTTTTTCTCTTTTATGTTTTGATTGATCTATGTTTCATTTTGATGTCTTGTTTTTTTAAATCATATAAATATGGACAGTATGAAGTGGAAAGATAAGCAATGAATAGAATTTATTATGATGAGAGTTTAGTTTATTTGTATAAAATTAGTAACCATGTCAATTGTCATTGATCAAGCCTGATTTGCATGGGAAAAAAAAAAACGTTAAAAAAACAATTCTTTAGAAAAAATGATTTGTTCTTCGGTTCATTGAATATACAATTGTTAGGCCTTGACACCTTCTATATATTGACAATAATGAATTATAATTTACAAGTACGAACAAGAATACTAAATTATATGAGTTCAGCGTATTAGAAACGATAGTATTACTTTTATCAAATAGAATTATTAATTATTCATCGTTTTTTACCGGCTGAGAAATTAAAAATATATATATGAAAAATATCCAAAATCGTATGATGCATAGATAATTGAAATAAAAATGTTGTAAATTGTCTCATAAAACAATAAAAGAAAGATATGTTGAAATTGTTTCAAGTAGAAAACAAGCTTCTTCTGTTGTCCTTATCTATCAACACTTACAAGAAAGCTGAAGACATAAATAATTATTACACTAACAAAGATTACAATCAACGACAAGAGTTTACAATAAAAAATACTTATACATTGAAGTGTATACGTCCGGCAAAATTCGATAACTTTATTCACTACAGTAGATAAGTCGTTGATGCGCAGACATTTCATTGGAGTAAAATATCAGACACTATTTTTGTATAGATCATAGACTTTAATTGTAGGATACATAAAATAAATCTATCAACATGTCTATTGCTCAGGAGTATGCATAACATAGAACCTCAATTCTTGGGACAATCTTAAAGTTTATATATTTAAGAAAAAAATATAGAATAAATAATGATTCGTATAAATACGGCATAAAATTTAATAAACATCTAACAATCTCTGCAGAAGCAGATCAATATCAACTAGTTAGTATTTTATATCTCACTGCAAAAACTTCTTAAAAGAATTGGTACCTCCCTCAGTATAAGTACCTGCAAAAATAGTCAATTTTTGAACTGCTTATCCCTGAGAGCACTTCATTTAAAAGTCGATCTATTCCAGGTTTTGACTCCTCATTCGCAGTAATATGGATATTTTAAACATGCAAGCTTTGCAACATTTTATTTTAGTCATTGGTAAAGTTAACAGCTCATTTACATTTTTTGCAAAACATTCGCCAATAAACTTGTCCCAAAAAGAGATACAATTGTACCAGACAGTGAAATAAACATACTGTTGAATGCAAACATTTCGAAAATTTTTCTTTCGAGAAAAATTCTTCAAAAATTCCAAAAAAACGCTTCTGGTCAAATCATGTTTTTAGAACACAATGAAGAATTTCCACAAAATATTCGTTTGAAGAACTGCGTTAATTGAGAAACCGTTTGTGCCAGATAGAATACAATGAGGTCTATCGAATGGTAGAAAATACGATCTTGTTCATCAGCAGCGTAGAAGTGTATGTGGCCAGAAACTAATAGAACCTGGAGGTGCGGGTGTAAGTCTTATCATCATCCCCACTCACACCGGCACTCACACCCATAACGATACTCCACAATCATCAACACTCTTCAAATCACATAAATTCATTATTCGATTGAGCATAGAATATAACTCGACATCAACTGATTTGGAATATAAACATATAGATCGTTAACCAGATGTACAAACTTGAATATTCAATCCAAGTTCAAAGACTATGACACAAGAAAATGAAGAATGAACTTCTTGCTCGGTCAACAATAAACAACTTGATGAACAGATTTGAATAGAGTGACTCCGTGCTTAACGTTGTTCTATTTGGTAGACCGGAGTCAGTTACTAACCAAACCATAAAAGATGAAGTTTCTTCCATTTTTACAAGAGATGCTCAAATGTCAGCTCGTCGTATGCGTTCACGGTTAAATATTTCAAGAACCTCCACTCATCACATTTATAAGCTTTTGAGATTCAAACCATACCTTCCACGGTTAATTCATGAACTTAATGAAGATGATTTTGACCAACGAATTGAGTTCTGAAAGACATTTCTCTCACTACTCGAGAATTAACGTGACCTTGTTAATCATCATAGTATGATCTATTGGACAACATAAAAAACAAATGATACATGAGGAGCCCTTGATGCAAACAGAAGGACTCACTGTGTGAGCTGGTATTTGGTCAAAAGCGAGTAATCGATCCTTATTTCTTCGAAGCTACAGTGAGTGATGAAAGATATATTTCACTACTGAATAACTATTTTTATACACTATTTGGTGATTTATCAGATAACGACCTAGTTTGTGTCGTGCAAGATGATGCTCGCCACATTATGCTCTTGACGTTTGAGATCGATTTAATTAAATTTTCCAGAAAAGAATGAATCAATTGTCGCGGCGTATTGCAGCGGCATACAAGACTGCCTGATTCAACATCAACCGACTACTTTATGTGGGGATACATAAAGGAGATGGTAAATAAAAGTAAGTCTCAAACCTTAGCTCAATTGAAGAAGGCAATCATTACAACATTTTATACTCTTGATACTGATCTTTGAAAGGAAGTTTGTAAATCAGTGTCTGAACAGTTTGAAAGGTGCATTGATGCTGATGGACATCAGTTTGACTATTTAAATTAATTTCTTGTAAAACCGTGATTTATGTGTATTATTCTAATGCTCTTAATAAAGTTTAGTTCTATCTTTTTCTTGGTGTTCTCTGACGCTAGAAACGAATGACATCTGCAAAACACTGTATATGCATTTTTTCGAATCTTAGAAAAAGCTAGATTTTTTTATTCGAAGTAATGATAATGGCTCAAAGCACTGTTGATTTGTTTTGTTTGTATAAAAAAAAATTGTAAGTCAAACTATCGTCCAAAAATAACTCAGCTCATTTAATTGACCAACTATATGAAGAAATTAAAAATTCTTATCGTAGTGATACTTATGCAACACCTTGTAGAATTTTAGAGCATTGTTTAGTTTGTCAGTATATACAGTAAGTACCGACATTATTCAAGAACTAGTTGAGCTAGACTCATTCTGTTTTTGTCAGACTACAGTCTGTAGGCTCTAGTATACTAGCAAATAATTCCAGATCAATTCATTGATCTCTTTAGTTTTTATTAACGATACTATCACAAGATCCTGTTTTTTATTCGATCATCTATATGCGTTATTTCTGACGCTAGGTTCTCGAGATTATCGCAGCAGAAAACTCGCAAAGGAATATATAAATGTGACGTTAAGCGATCTTAAATTTCAGCAATGGAATTTATGATCAACGATTCCACCTAGAATCGATCCTGATCTTTCAAAGGTTTCCATTATCTCGGGTAAAATATGTAGGCTAAGGAATCATTTTGCGAAACTTACTGAAAATGATGAAGCGCTTATCTTGAAGATTCAGAAATGCTTGCATCATCTAGAGACATCGATCTCTCGGATAAAATTCGATTGTCTTTCTAGCGACTCGTCGTTTTCTCGAATATTGTGACGCAAAGTATGGAGATCAAATTCGTATGCAACTCACTACATCAATCCTATGCTGAACACTGCATTAGAGCTTGTGCAAGATTTGATCTTCAACTATTCTCACATGCATTTATCTTAATTGCGATAATTTTGCCGAAATGGAATTTTTTCTTGAGTGTGCCTCAAATGTTTGCTTTAATGTCTTAAGGGAAGATAAGCAAAAGCAACGTGGTTCTATATCTTTATTGATCGTAAGCTAGTGTCATTCACAATTGTTTTTCATGTTATTGAAAATCCATATGATTGGTTGAAATAATTATCCAATAAAGCTATTCAGTCTTATGTATTTATTTCATGTTACGCACCCTTTTATTAATTTCATCGCATATCTTCATTCTACTGATTTTTTTTTGTTTTCAGTAGATTACATATATAAATAAAATTATGTCAAAACGAACACATATTCGTCAACGACGATGTAGTGATGATGAAGATGATAGTCAACCAGCTAATGAAGATACTAATGAACAAAATTCGAATGATGGATCTGATAGTGGGTATGAAAATATCATTTTCTTTGTTTCTTCTTATTCATTGTTGTTTTTTCTTTTTCTGTAGAACATTAATTGAAGATCTTAAATTAATTCAAAAACTTCGTCAACGTAAAAAAGGTGTTTCTGCTGAAGAACTTGCTCTTGGTAAACAAACAAATCCATTAATTAATTCCAAAAAAATTGATGTATGTATATTAACATATTATATAGAATTAAAACATTGAGAATTTTTTCTCTATAGCCAAATGATCCATTTAAATTAAAATCTGGTGGCCTACTTGAAATGAATACAGCTAAACAGCAACAACAACAACAACAACGAGGACGTTCATCAAAAGATATAAGTACAATCAATGATAATTTTGCCCGAGAAACAAATACACGTGATGAAGATACTGAAATGCAACGTTATATTGAAGAACAACTTGCTAAAATCCAACAAAAATCATCATCATCAACAATAACATCAAATTTATCAACTAATGATGAATTACAAGCTGTTTTTGCTACATTAAAAAAACCTGAAGATACTCTTTTTCATGTTAGTAAACATTTAATTACAGATCATTCAACACAAGCATCAGAAGAAATGCTTTCAGAACAAATGTTAAGTGGAATACCGGAAGTTGATATTGGTGTCGAGTATGTTTTATCAGTGCATTTTTTTTTTTTTTTGTTAAATTGTTTTATTTCTCTTAGAGAAAAGATTCGTAACATTGAAGAAACAGATAAAGCTAAACGAAAATTATTACAAACATTATGTGAAAAA